CTTGTAATGAAACATCTGACAATAACATACTTGCGTAGAGCCACTGAAAAACAATCTGTGATCATAATCTTTAACTCTCTGGAAGGTTGCAGGCAAAGTTTTAAATTCAATTAGTCTGTCTTTGTAAATGTTTTATATATTTAAAATGTGTGCAGTTACAACTTGGAAACAGAAATTTAGATTGTCACCAAAAATGCTATTCTATAGCTTAAAAAAAGTAAATCTTCAAAAGGCAATTTGATTGAACTATTGGTTCTTGAAAAAATAGTAGCGTGCATCTATATTACATGTATAATTAGGACATATGAGTGTATGAATGAGATGAATGTGTGAATTATCAGTTCACTTCAATCTGGCTAATATCTTCTCAATATTTTACATACGTTCTTCAACTTTCTGGCTGACATCTTAGTTTTCTCAATGGAAATTCTGTTTATTGCTTATAATTCTGTTTTATTGCTTATAAACTCAGTTACCTGATTATGAAGATATAGTTTCAAAAACTAAAGCTTTCTTATTTTAATTTTCTTGTAAAATTAACCATTGGCTTGGTAAGATTTTACTTCTGATTTGACATGTAACTGCTGATCCATTCTGTATCATTGCTGTATCACTCAAAAGATCTGGATCCTATTAGTTACAAAGATTTTATTACCCTGCTTTGACAAAAATTAATATATATGCATTTAAAAGTAACTGTAGTTTTCATTCATGATAAAAGGAGTATAGAAAAAGATTAGGTGAAAGACAAACACCTGTATATACAGTATGTAAATAGAGCTGGGAGGTGTTCACCAAAACATCTTTCCCCTGCTAGTTCTCCTGCGAAGGCTGCCCCTGTGTATGACAGCAGTTATCTCTGGGCCCTTGAAAGCCAGGAAAGGAGATGCACCTGCCGGATTCTCATTCTTGCAGGATCATCAGGAAGTTGTTTCTGGGCCCTTGGAGCTTCCCAGAAAAATTAGATGAGCTGCAGCATTCCCTTTTCCACCCAGAGGAGAATCGTGCCCAAGTTGTTTGGGTCCGTATGGTTTATTAGTTTGCTAGCAATGGCCTTCAGTCATGGAAAAATCTCCTCTGCAAGGTGCCAGGAAGTAGTAGCAGAGAGCAAGGCTGCTGGAGCTGACCTGGCAGGGATGCCGGAAAGAATTGCAGAATCCAGGATGGAATATCCTTCAGCAGTCACCTCAAGTCTGTAGCCAGACACCCCACCTAAGTGACAGGGGAAGCCTTATCTCCCAGCAAAATGGTGAGTTCCCCCCACAACTTTATTGCTGTTCCATACCAGAAGGAACTTTTTTTTTTTTTTGATTGATTGATTATCTTTTTGTATTGCTGAAGCACTGTGTGGCATATTGCTGGCTTTTGTCATTGTAGTCTGTTTTGAAAGACTGACTTTTACACTGCTTCAGACTTTCGCAGCTGAAAGAATTGCAGTAAGTGGCCAAGCAATATACTGTATAATGAATATTGGCCCACGGAAAGCTGAGGGAAAAACAGATTCCATCTAGCAACTTAGAAATCATAAATCGTGCTTTCCTAAGTGATAAGCTTCAGAAATACCAATACAGTGGATGAGGATGGTTATTGCACTTGAGAGTGCAGAGTGCACTTTCCAGAGTCACACGGGAGCATGGATTGCCTGGTAGGGCAGAAGACAATGCCCGACCCTCTGGCTATTGGAGATTAAGCAAATGAGCAGGACCCGCAGAAGGCTATAAACGGGTGGGAGTGACAAGATAACTGATAGGCAACCTTGAATAGTGTTGCTCAGTAAAAAGTTCCCACAGGTCATCACATTAGTCATCGTTCTGGACAGTCATCTAGTGCGGGTCCAGGAGGTGCAGTATACGTGCTGTAGGAAAGCTGGAAATTCAGACAGACGCCAAGCAGCAAAATTTGTAGCATTAAAGGTGACTTTTTAGCAAAGGTTAAAAGGAAACAAAATCTGATATTAGAGAGGCATATATTGTGCAGCCTTGCTAAACATTGGCTTATATGGTAGAGGTTGCTTCAGTTCAGCACAGTAAAGGGTGTAAGATGCTCTAGCAACTCATTTTCAGCAGGCTTTTACACGGAGGGCAGACAGTGCCGTTGGACAGTGCTTTCTGGTGATCTGACCCTGAATCACATCACCACGCTCTCTAACAGGGCTGCACCTCTGAAATGTAGCAGGGACCATAGTCTGGAGTTTGACTGATAGCACAAATGAAAACCTAATTACTTCATCATGAAATAGCATTTCAGAAACATATTTGCTGTGTCTTTTACCTGTTTGGGTCTTCACTGGGTTATTCTAATGTTTACTGTGTTGGGCCAAAAATCACCTAAGCTAAGCAGGTGGCATCTTCTGTGGAATTTATTTAAGCTAAGCAGGGGTAAAACCAATAAAGCTGTATGAATGCCTTAAGTTTTGAAAGTAGGCAACAGTTTTAATGCACTACAGAAAACACTGCGAGTTGCCTGCTCTGTATTTAAAAAAAAAAAAAAAGGCTTGTATAAATTTGATATAGAAGTCTCAGTGCAGAAAAAGAAAACCGCAAGCAAATATGAAGGGAACCTAGGCACGTATCTGAAGTTAAGCAGGTGCTTAAATGCTTGGCTGTACAGAAATGCAGTGATTTAATTAGGATCTTGTTACATTTGTCAGGCATATCTGAGTTTTAGGTTAGATAGAGAGCAACAAGAAAAGCTAATTCTAAGTAAATGTGCGTGGATTCCAGCATGTGGCAGGAGGAAAAGCAAGCTTTCTGCACTGGATTTCAGCAAGGAGTTTGTGTCTTGTATTAGAGCATTTTGTAAGATGAGTGTTCCAGGCCTGCAAAACTCGCTGGGATCATTCAGCCAAGTGACTGCTTCAAAACACAACAGAAAAAGAAAAAAAAAATCAAAAGAATCCTATTTCCACCATAAAGGAGTCATAGGCAATGTTTTTGTTTGTTTTCTTTGTTGTTCATCTGCTAAATCAAGCACTGGACTTCACTTTCTCCACCAGCTGACAGTGAAACAAAGAATATGTGCACTGCTAGAGGTTTATTTGTTTGGGTTTTTTTCCAGTAAGTGGTGACTCATGATTTTTTCTTTTTTTCAGAGAGTACATCATGTAGTGTATCAGGTTTAGTAGCTGCATTAGTACAATGAGCTGAAATGATTAAATTGATTCCACATGTGATAAATACGGGATTAAAACAATCAGCAGCCCTTCCTATCTTTAATGTTGATAACATCACAATAGTAAAAAAGTTGAAAAGAAGAAGATATTGAAATAATAATTCCATTAAAGCTATTTGGGTATCTACACTGTTAGTTTGGCAAGAGTTCACTAATTATCCATGGCATTTTTAGAACAGATAAAGGAAGTGAAATGAAAAGTCCCCAAACTTCTTTTCCTCTGTCTGTTCATCAAGTACACAGTGGCCCTTAAAAAGAAATCCAGAGTTCTGTTGTTCCATCCTGGATGAGAAATACTAATTGTAGTTATTTTAATCCCATTACGAATGATTTTAAGTACTTTTCTGATTGTAAAATTTACCATGGAAAAACATAGATTTATATAATAACCACCGCAATTAATTTAAAATTCAAACAGCAATCACAGACATGACAGGCACCCCCTTGCTTACAGGCTGCTGGCTGATAGTTGAGTTCAGAATCATCCGAATGCTTCAGTGATACTCTACTCAAAACAATGTCTGAATGTACAGTTAATTGTCACGTATTTGGCTGTCTTTTAAAAATTCCTCCTGTCTTTAAGGGCATTAAGACTTTTCTACCAGTATTTTGAAAGGTTTTCAATGGCTGTTTGGCTGATGAACTGAAAAAAATGCCAACTATTACTTTGTTGATCTTGTTTTTAAAATGAACTGCATTATCAACTGAGAGTGTGCTCTGAAGGTATTGTTAAAAGTGCTCTGAAAACTTGTAAATCCCCGTAATTTATGTTCCTGTGGTCTCAACTGCTTCTTTCTGTCCTTCTGGTTTTAATTTGAATGCAGTCTTGTCTGGGTGTGTACCTGTAAAATTGTGTTTTTCCAAGTACAATTTACAGTCGTGACCCTAAGTTTTACAGTGTTCTAGCCTTATAGGAGCTTCCTCCTATGCTGAAAAGCCAACTTTGGGTCAAACAGCTCTTTCATATTATAATTGTTTAATCAAGGTTCCTTGGAACAGATCTGATTTTGGCATTTTTCAGTTTTATCACAAAGACTTTATAAGAATATCAAGTAAATTGGAAAGGTTCCTTTGCAGGAGAGCAGTAATAGCATTGCCTTATTTCTTCAGACATACACAGTTGTAAACTTAGCCTGCTTCATGACAACAGTCCCATTTATCTAAACAATTCTCCTTTTAGAGTCAATGGCACTGATAGAAACCGAGATAAGAAATACAGATGGGAGGATCTTTCTGAGTCTCTACTTACTGAAACTCCTCGCTGTGCAGCTTACAATCACCTTTTCTTTTTGGTGCCTGAGAATGCGTGGCAGACATCTACCATGAAACAGAGTCCTCTCTAATTGCCAGGGAGCACTCCAGTAAAGGATGATCAAGCTTCGGGAGGATTTTTGCAGTCCTGGTGATCTCTTTCTTGATTTTTTCCCGCTAAAGACATGCTTACTATGTTCAAACTGCAGGGGTTGGGTTTTTTGTTTCATAGCTCTAACTTACAAGAGTCCTTTTGCTCTAATTCTCTGTCTTTTGAATGAAGGTATTATCTATTTTATTATCGTCCACAGATTAATCCCGTTCTCATTTACTTACTGTCTTTTTGGGTGATCCAGGAAAAAGAAATTTCACAGCTTCTTCGTGTTCCTGTGCAATAAAAATAACTTCTGTTTTAGGGTGCCAGTATTATTTGGAGTAAATGTTTTAAGCTGTATTTTTAGTATTTACTGCTCAGCCATGTTCATTTTTTCAGCATGACTTCAACACCCTTGGTGGTTAACCGGAAGAGAAGAACAGATAGATCACATGGTTTAATTTTGTTATGTTTGTATTTTCAGATCATTGTACAATCTGGCCGTCACCCGACGGTGCTGCAAAAACTATGCCAGTTGCCTTTCCAGTATTTCAGTGATCCTCGTTTAATCAAAGTGCTCTTCCCTTCGCTAATAGCTGCTTGTTACAATAACCCTCAGAACAAGATCATCCTGGAGCAGGAGATGAGCTGTGTTTTACTCGCCACGTTCATTCAGGTAGCTATCACAGTAACGTAACAGCAGTGTGCAGGATAACTGCAACCTTTTTTCTCACCTTTGCTGTGTATATGGAAATCGTTCGAGTTCAGCAAAACAAGTAAACATCATTGAAGTACCTTAAGATTCTCTGCAGCTCTTTTCAAACCGCAGATTATGCCTGTACTTGAGGCATCTTATAACACTAGAAGGTTACCAAGTAGTTGAGGTTCTCATTGCAGAATTCTGTTTTCATTGAAGTTACTGGACATGCTAGAAAGATTTGACGTAGATCCTGCTATTACAAGACAATTATTAAAATATTTATTTTTTTTTAAACTACTGCACTTATAGCAGATCTGAAACTGGTATATTAGTGTGTTTACATACAAATGTACAGTTGTATACTGTGTACTATAGATTTACAGAGAGAACTGAACAGAAGTGTATATATTTTATGCAGAAAATACACAAAACATATGTTACTGGTCTAATCTTGCAGTCTTTATTTTTGACAGTAAGCCACTGAAGTTATTACGAATACTGGTTTGTATAAGGTTTTACAGCATTTTTGTTCCTTTTGTCTAAATTTATATGCTGTGTTTTATGTATTGGATTTTATACATGCCTCATGTTTTCCATACATTTTATTGACTATTTGCAATGAATAAATGCAGTTTATGTAAACACTCGACTATTAAAAAAAATATGCTTTTAGGAGTCTGGTAGCTCTGTATCAGTCACCTGAAAGTTATTGCTGTTGATACAGAAACGTTAGTCAAACTCTTTTTCCTAATGCTTTACATCTATTCCGAGGGTAGGCTACATGGATTTGTGAGAGAAGGCACAAGAACTAAATATTTACTAAAAGTCTTAGCATAACATCAAACTTCTGAGTGCAAATACTTTTTATCCTTTCAATACTAAATTAATTGCATAGCAGTTTAAAAAAAAAAGTTTGGAACCTCAGTATTAAAAGAATTTGACATATAGTCATGAACTTCTGGTTAAATACAAAGCTATAATTCATGTTTTACTTTGATTTTTTTTTATAATAAAACTAGAGACTTCAGTGTAGAATTTGCAGTGGCAAACAAAAATAATTTAAGTATTATAAGTAAATGCAGCAAGTTTAGCTTTTTTTTTTTTCAGCCAAAGATCATTATAGTGGAGGAGAGTGTACCCTATGTGAATAACTATGGTTATTTACCTTGATTTCTGTGCTGTAAGAGAGAATGTAATTTAAATCCCCAGTAGCTACAGCAGAGTGTAAGTATATTTACAAGGGTCAATGTTGCTAATTTGATTTCCAGTTAGAGGTATATCTCCGATGCCAAGTCCACATGCTATTCTTGCAGGCTTTTAAAAAAGGTGTTATATTAAAATACGGAAGATCCTTGGGTGCTGTAAAGCGTCATGTGTTTACTGCCTTCACTGGCACTTTAATGTTTTACCCATTTTAAAATCTGATCCCAGATGTTGCACATGCACACACACAGGCAGAACGGTTCTGAAAGTAGCCAAGGAATGCTCAGATACCCGCACACAGAGGACACTTGCCTCTGTATTTTTATTTCAACTCGCTGCTCCCCATCAAGCAAATCTCTCATTTGCTTCAGTGGAAGGTTTGGGAAAGACTGTAAAAGGTTTCCTAGTGACTAGAAAATGAGATTCTTCCTGTGCCAGGGAATGCAAAAAGAAGTCCCGTTTACATAAAAGTTCGGTGGTGTGTACAAATATAACACTTAAATACAGTGTGTTAAATATGTGCTACGTAAATCAAAGGAAAATGATTGCTAGATTTTACCACCAACACATCCATTTCCATCATCTGAAGTTTGCATCATCCTTTTTATTTTGTTCCATCTGTTTCTAGATGTGCTGAAATAATTAAAACACATTTAGGAGTATCCAGTTTTGTTAAATTACATCTCTGATGTCAAATAATACTGTCTCTGCTCAGAGCATATTAGAACAACAGACAGGATCCTAAAAGCCTTGTCCGTACTGGAGCAGCTGACTTGCGTAAGCCTGCATTGTTCAGAGCGATGTTGGAGTCCTTGCTGACTCCGGAGGATGCAGCATCCCGATGGCCGGTAGCAGCGGGATCGCACATCGCACTGGGCACTGAGATGAACTGCCACCACAGCTGGCTGCAGCGCTGGCCTCAGTTCATCACCTCCGTGGAAGCACTTGACTTACTCGGAGGGGATCAGGACCTCAGGCTCATGGGTCACTGGGAAGCACAGCCAATGAAATTGGGATAATTCAAGAATTTTGTAAGAATGTATTTGGAGTCAGGAGCATAAATCTTAAACACTGTTTATTTTCAAGAAACATAGATGTAGTAAATGTTCTCTTAATTTAAAAGTGATGATAATAATTATTTCCTGAGAAGATATTAAAACCTTTTTTTTCCTGTTGTATATTAAACATACTTGTTTCAAAGAAGGTATAAATAAAGGTATAAAAATCCACCATGTATTACAGAATTTAACTGCTGGCAGTATTCTGTTACGATGTGTAGCAAACAATCCAGAGTTTGATAATTTGCAGATTTCATGGAATATTAGTATTTTTGAGTGACTGTGAAGATTTAGAAATGTTGTTTTAATTCTTCAGATTTAAGATCTAAAAACCTAATGCTGGTTTGTTTGTTGTTTTTTTTTTTTTTTTTCCCCCGTAGGATTTTGCCCAGAGTTCAGGCCAAACGGATATTCAGTTATCACAGCAGAGGGGTATGTCTCCAGTGTGATGTAACAGAGTAGCAATTGGGTAACAAAATGTGCAGATACTGTATTTTACTGTGATTTAATTTTTTTTAATCTGCATTGTGATGAAAAAAAATATAGTAAATTGCAAGATGATTTCACAGTTTGGGGAGAGGCTCTCTAGCTTACATTCTGACCTAAATGTACATGTCTTCCGCTCCGCTACTCATTGTATCAGGAATCCGGACTGTTAGTCTTTATTAAATGCTGTGTGGTATCATGTCTTAAAACATGATGCTGCGTGTGCACATATGTAATTAGCTGTCACAGAGGCTACCTTCAGAAGTTTTAGATTGCAGAAGATACACAGCTATGCCAATACACTCAAGGAGCCAAAAATTAGTAAACAACTGCCCTGTAATTATCCTGCAAAGTTTGTCCGTTTGTAAAAAAGTTGCCATTTTTTTTTCTTCTCGGTTGTTGTAAATGTTGTGTAAAATGCAGTTAAACTCTTTAGCTGAACAGTTGAAAGATTCTCAGCAAAGTTGGCTGTTCCTTGTTAAACGCATCTGAAATTCAAGTGTGTTGATGGGAATCTGGTCTTGAATCTCCCCGTTTTTTACATAAAGTATGTTGCTCGGACGGTCATTTCTCCCTAACAGCAAGCAGAAATCCACCACCATTTTGCTGAGTGTTTGGCAGAAGATGAGTAGTTCTAGGTCTAAAACATAAGCTTTGTGTTTAAACGTAAAATACAAAATTAACATACATTTATGGAGCTTTTTACTGTTGATGTTATACCTCTTAGCCTGAAGTAGCGTCATACAGTGCCTACAGCACAAACTTTCCAGGACTCTGTTTGCATGAGAATCTGCTTGAGAAACATCTAAAATCCGAGTGGAAAACTGCTTTTTATTTTCACTGTTCAAACTGAATGAACTTTTAAACTAAGATGACTATGTAGTGGCATGTGAGTGTAATTTCTAAACATGCCCTGGTTGTAAAAAATCTGACTTAATAATACTGTAAGCAGAATGATTTTTATCCATTATATCATTTGAATGTGAAGGATGGTGTCCCCAAAAACACAAACGGGCACTGTAACGCTGCTCGGAACAGAACTCCAAAGCTGCTACATGCTGCCCAAAGGGTCGGACCCCACCGACCTGTGCACGCATGTGTAGTCCCGTTCACATCACCAGCGGTACTCCTTGGAGTGAGAGGTGTGTTTGTGATCTGGCTGTGAGCTTTGGGGGAATCGGGGAGTGAAACTCCACAGCCCTTTGTGGAAAACGAAGCTGCTAAGCTGAGAGAGTGCACTCGAGGCTGCCGGGACTTGAACGAGGCTGAAATGGTCCCCGGTGGGGCTGGGAACATAAAATGTGTGAAGGTGGATAATGTTCCGATGTGTAAAGCAGAGAGCCTCATAAGCTTAAAAATCTAAGTCTTTGCTCATCAGAACTCTCTTCCCCCATTTTTAAAGCCACACCTCACTGTCCAGAGCTCCACAGAAATGTCACCCCGTGATTTGAGAGGTTTTTGGTAGGGGGAGGGGAGTAAATGGCTTGAAGTATCTCGGATTGGCTGCACGTTCATTATTCTTGTTTTATTGCCATCTTATCTTAAGAGAGAATAACTTGGTAATTTTATGTTCTGTCCTCAACAGAAAGATTTTTCAATTCGCAAGATTATCTTGAGCTGTCCAACAGATTCCCCCGCCAGTCCTGGGAAGAAGCTCGACAGTTCTTCTTGAAAAAATAAGTGTTGAATTTGGTTTTAAAA